ATATCAGTGGTTAGTTAATGATAAGTTTGAAAAAGTGAATGCATAACACTTTGGTGATGAAACTGATTTCTTTGACATTTTTCCAAGATTGCTGGTTAATAAATCTGATAAAGCAAAGTCAGATGACCAACCAATCCAAGAAAGTAGCTAACTGTTAACCCACAAACTTATCAAACTATATAATCAATGATTATAGTAAATCTGTGGTTAAAACAGATCTGCAAAATGATATTCATTCAGTTTCCACTATAATCACGATTCCCATAGCAGTTAAATTAAAATCCTCCAGTGAATTGCATCCAATAAATTTGTTTTGCACTATTGACAAAATTTTGGAGAAAATGGTGTATGCAACTTGTTGAGTTTATATAGGTAGATAGAAATAAAATATTCAGTGATTTTCAATCATGGATAAAGCTGTTTCCTCTGATTGTTTGTCAAGATCAGTAGTTATTAATAAACTGAACTGAACTGAACTGAAAAAGTGTCAAAAATGAATGTAACACTTTGGTAATTAGCCTATCCAAAACACGTGACTTTGACAAGCAAACAAAGGATTTGTGTGCCTCTTGGCGAACATTTTAATTTGAGTTTGACAGCATCTTGGATAGTCTAATATAACCTTTCCCCTGACACTGATAGTTTGTCAAGATCGGTGGTTAATAAATCTGATATAGCTAAATCAGATGAGTAACAATCCAGGAAAGTAGGTAAATTTTAACCCTAATAAACTCATTAAACTAAATAATGAGTATAGTAAATCTGTGATTAAAACAGATCTGCCAAATGGATATTCACTCATTATTGGTAAATAAAACGTGGTCCTTAGTATCAAGACCCGAATATAAAAGTATAGTGGATTGTGAATCGATATTTTCCATTGAAAATGATGAAATTGGAAAACCATTTAGATACAAAGCTTACTTAGTTGCTCGTGGTTTTAGTCAACATTACTTGGTAGATTATAATGAAACCTTTGCACAGGTGGCGAGAATCGTAGCTTTCTAGTTTATAATAACCTTTTAATCAGTTTACCCTTTTAATACATCATATGGATGTAAAAACAGCTTTCCCGGATGGGACATTGAAGGAAGCCATTATTATGAAGGTTCCTGAAGGGTGGCTGGCTTGAGGTGTGACAAGTAAACCTCCTAACCAAGTTTGCAAGGCTTTGTATCTATGAACTAAAACAAACCACTAGATGTTGTTTTGAAATAATAATAAAAGTTCATAAAGAAAATGGGTTTGAAAATTCATCAGTTAACCACTGTATTTATATCTTAGACAAAGGTGCAATATGTAAAATTATTTATGTAGTTCTGTAGATGGTATTTGCCACTGCAGATAATAATACATTGAATAGTTTCAAAAGGTATTTGGCAAATAACTGTTCTATGTTTTATTTGAAAGACAGTAAACTATTTTTGGGTAATAAAATTAAAACGTAATCAAAAATAAAATTATTCTTGATCAATTTTCATATAGGTACATTTCACATGTACATGAAAACTATTTTACATAAATTTAATATGAATGACTGTTGTGCCATCCGCTGTGTCAGCACTCCACTTCCTAGTAAACTGAATTTGAGTTTAAATTCAGAAGAAAAACATGATAGCCCTTGCCGTAATCTGTTTAATGCATATTATGTTATGTATATCAAGCCTGATTTAAGTACCACTGTTAATATTCTGAGCAGGTATTATAACAAGAATAATAAAGAGTTTTGGCAATATTTGAAAAGGGTCCTTAGATATTTTAAGGGTAAAATCAATGTGAAGTTGACACAATATTTTACTTGTGAATGTATCAATTTCTTGAGTGATTCTATCAATCTTGACTAGGAAGGTGGAGATGATAATATAAACAATATAAAAAGCACATCAGGATATTTTTTTAAACTGTTTGAAATTTGTGTGATATGTTGGAATACAAAAAGGCAGTTGTCAGTAACGGCATCATCTACTGAAGCCGAATATATGGTTTTTCTTTTTGAAGAGGCTCTTTTGTTAAAATCATTGGCAGAAAATATGCATAAACATTAATATCAGAGTCAATTATGACCTAGGAGGACAACAATGGACCTCAATAAGTATTACAAATAATCCAACAAATCACAAAAGATCAAATCATATTGAATTGATCGTAATTAATATAAAATATCAATTTGTCCACAAATAAACCACTAGCAGACATGTTTACCAAACCATTGATGCAAGTGAAATTTGAGAAATTAGAATGGAATTAGGCTTAGTAAATAAGTTAAATGGTTTGATTAGGTTTTTCTGGATTTTCCCTAATCCTGAGCAGCAAATGCTGGACCGTTATTGTAATTTTCCCCAGAAAACACACACATAAGGAAAGCGGGCCTATTTATGTTATACTAGGTTTAAGTTGTATTACACTTTTAGTATAATTGATCAAATTTTTGAGGTGGCGTGTTGGATAAACTGATATTCATATCAGTGAAACAAAAATTAATAAATTAAACTTTGATTATAAGCCTATACTTTGCTAATTTATATCGCAGCTATGGATGACTGAATGTGTTTATAATAGTTTTTATATGTAAGGTAAACAGATGAGGAATCGTTTACTTAAGAAAGGGTGTGTAATTCTTTGTCTTGATGTTGAGTCAGTTCGTATAGTTATTTCTATAAGTTCACATGCTCTGCTTTCCACGCTGTGTTCGATATAATAAATATATTGAATATCGATAATTAACAAGTTCTTTCATTTCTTAGTCCATTTCCCAATATTTATTATGGAACAGAATAGGCACCAAATTAGATCGGCTATTATGGATTCTACACTTACACCAAAGTAATCAATTTTTTTGGAAACAATGTTGTGAATCAGTAAATTAATATTTTATCGGTAATAATAATAATGTTAGTTTAGTCCCTTGTTCAAATAGGTACTCAATAACCGAGTTTATAACTTACTGCTAATTTAGATTTAAAGGACGATGCCGGCCGGCTGGAATAATTATACAATCAATGTCCTGTTCACACCATCTTATCGAGAAGATGTTTCCTTTCGTCGGTAGTTCAACTGCAGGAACCCCAATTAATTTTAATATATAAGTAAATAAATTCTCGGTGAAACTGGGATTTAAGTGGATAGTAAATAAGTTTGATTCAATTCTATGGATTTAAATGTCACAAAATTCGTGAAAATCCGGCGTTGATTCCGACTAAAACAGTATTCTGAAATATATGGCATGGCACAAGTGTCAAGCCCATAAAATTTGCATTGCTTAAAAAGGAATGGCGCTTTCGTAAAAGCGTTCAACTTTTCATAAAATTACTAAAAAATCAATAACTTGAAAAGAAGTTTAAAGATGAAATATTATCAGGGTGTCGTCAAGTATAGTTTGCAGTAATGTATCTGTACCTGTAGGTATAACATATTTCGGGGATTCCCTGGACAAAATTTTTTTTTCTGCCCAGGTAACTGAAGCATTGTAACAAGAAGCAATCTCTCTCTATTGATATCATGAGGAGGGAAAGAGAAAGCAAAGATCCATAGCGAAGGCGATAACGATCGTTCGGGTGAGTTCCTGGGAAATAAGGCAGTGACATATTCTCAGTTTGGTCGTCTGATTGATGGTTTTGAATGGCCAATGTCAGATAAATCGGAAATTACACAAAAAAAAGAATGATTTCTGACATTTATTTTATTCTTTGAATCAATCAAAATTGCATAGATAGATAGATAGACAGATATTATTGTCCCGATCCACCTTTTTAATTGTCCAAAATATTACAGATAACAACGTTCAAAGTCGGAGAAAACCGATTTCTCAAGTCCCAGGTCGTTTCGGCGTATGAAAGGAAAGAATTTTGAATTTTTGATAAATGCATGTGTATAGATTGGAAGTGAGAGCAAAAGGAAAAACTCAGACTTCTATAAGTCAGGAACTCATGAAAAATGTCAACTGTATTTGGTTTGTGAATAAATAATATTAACTCCTATAGCTAAGCCAAACATCAAGCACCCCCTTTTTATATGAAAGGCTATATTTCCAGAAGACATACAATAAAGGGCCATGAGATTAAAGATGTAATTTAATACAGCGGCAACAATATTCTCTGCCATTTACCTTCACATTTCGCCGCTGTGAATAGCGGATATAACAGGAAGCCGGAAACCCTAGACTCAGTAAAATATGCCGGGGCTTCCGGTAAAAACGGCACCGGGAGATATCCAAAGCGACAAAATTAAGTCATTTTATTGAGAATTTCCTACCTGAATGTGGATCAATTTTGTTATAGTAGAGTTGAAATAAGGTTGAAAAATTACTTTTGCTCTAGTGCAAAATTTAAACTTAAGTAAATTAGAAACAAGAAAATCAGTATTTCTTATTCAAATGTTAAAATTGAAATATGAATGAAAGAAATACGGGACAGAAAATAATTATTAAATAACAAAAAGCTTTTGGTCTGTGAGAAGTATTAGGCAAATAGTGAAATATACCAATTTCGAATGCAATGCGTATATTTTACGTCTGAAGAAGATGGTTTAAACTTCTTTACTTCTCCATGAACAAAGTATTTGCTTAAAAACAACAGACAACAGAGTTGCATGAAATAGGAACGAAAAGAGTGCAGTATTTATCCTTTTTAACATTTTTTTTTTCTACGCTTTTCTCTACGTCTCTGGAAAAGTTGCTTACTACTTTGTTCGTCCCTATCCGGACGCAACCTTGTGAAGACTAGTTTGATTGTTTTCAAGTAAATACTTTGTTTCTGGAAGGATAGAGAAAATCCATTCGAACCATCCTTTGCAGGCGTAAATTATGTTCACTAAATTAAAAATTGTTGCCTCAATATTTGCTTGATGACAACCACAGACGAAAAACTTTTCATGTCTAAAATTAAATTCAACTAGAAAACTTCAGAAAATTTTCTACAAGTTGTCCGCAAGATGATGCAATATCATTGTCATTATCGTTGAAAGTATCAATAACATCAGAAAGGATGGTATATTATTTGACTTTATTTGTTTGTTATATTTGTAGAAACCACAAGATCGTTATTTAGTCGATTTAAACAAGAATTGACACACTTTTCAATTTCATCTAAAGCACTTGTGATTTCGTCAGGATTTGAAGGTTTCGTTCTAAATTTGCTCGAAAGATTTTCCAGTTCAAGGTCATATAAGTTCCTCCTGCTTCTCTCATTTTGTACATTCATATAATTAACATTTATTTTTAACAATAGATTGGTTTTCTGCATTAGTTTTTCGCGCCTTTCACGATCGTATTGTTTGCGTTTTGCATAGGAGCTCACTTCACTGGTTATAGAATCGTTTTTAGTGAGCAATTTGTTTGGGCTTGTATCTTCCAAACCCAATCTAGATGCTAAACGACTTCTTTGAGGAACATCTTTCAAGTTTTTCCATAAATCATTACGAACTGTACTTGGGCGGCTCGATTTAAATCTTGCAGGCTTAATTTCATTTTGCTGAGGGGCTGTTTTTGGTTTTGGCGGCAGTGCAGCTGTATTAAAATGTCGAATAGGTATTTGCGATTTTTTAATTGGAAATATTTCCTCAGGACCTCCACCTACAAAAAAAAAAAAAAATTGTTATTTTATTTCGTGCCAGAGTGATGAATCTTATAGAAAACCCAAGATAAATCTCAACATACCAACACTCATGTCTTGATATTTCTTTATCTGACTTATAACACCTGATGTTTGTGATCCAATAATAATTTTTTCAGGTTTTGCAAATTTCTCTTCCAAATCTTCATAAGTTTTGTATAAAGCAGCAAAACTTTTACTACTTCTATCTGATTTCGAATTCTTTAAGAACGCGGTACTTACAGAGGTTTCAGTAGTTTTTAAATTTTTTTTCGAACGGTGCAATCGTTCCTGAATAGCAGTTACTAATTTACAAATTTTATCTTGACTATAATCCACTTCTTTTGATTTATCAGTATTTGGCTCGAATTCGGTTTGGCAATGTCCGGATGTTTTCCCGATATTTTGTTCGTCCAGAAATGCTCTAAACCTTGATTTTTTTGTTGTTTTACTGATTACCGTGTCTTTGGAAAGTACAGGCTTGATAAACACTTGATTTTTCTCGTATTTATTGGAACACATTTCAGATTGTGTTTTTAAAACATCTTTTCTTATTTCCGTTTCGGCTATATTTTTATTCAACCTAGAAAAAAATGCTCTCAATTTATTATTTATTGACTCAAATCTTGTAAAACGAATACACCAAATACCAAGTTTAATAAAAAAACCGATATATGTTTTTTGATTCATGCCCTTTGAACTTAATATAGAAATATTAGGTATCGATTTATCAGCATTCAGAATACACTTATGAGGCGCAAGATTAAAAGTTACATTGATGATACACATGATTAACATCATTATTTCGTCCACTTCTAGGAATAGTAAAAAACAGTGAAACTCACAATATGAGAGTGATAAAAAAACTGCATCATAGATTGGTCATTTTTAAATTTCTTATTTACTTTTCATCCTGTTTATTTTTCAAAGATACGTAATGTATACTATAATTGGTGCAAAACCAGTTCCGGTTAGTTACCACAAACTATCGTAGCTGATACCTTTTGGTATTTCAATTTCAATGTAGAAATTTTTTTCAGAAAGTTATTAGCGCTTTCATTTGGTATGTATAACAATTTATCGGATTGGCAAACTTGAGAGACCGATGCCTATAAAAAATGACAAGTAAATCTAAACACCGTGAAACTTTTAGACCAAAATACCTTTTGACCAAGAAATTCCATAGGGAGAGCGGAGATTTAAACATAACCACAAGTCTTTACCCTTACCACAGACTTCAATAGTTCTCGCAATGGGCGGTCAAACCACACAGTTGAGTTTGATAGGTCATGAGGCAATATACCTTGTAAGGGAAGATAATTTCTGCTTTTTGCTAATAATACCAAATTGAATTTATGGAAAAATCCTGTAACTAATTCAGAGAAGATCAGTAGACCATTATTCGAGCAAGTGACACGATTTCTAGAGGTGCAACTTTTGATTTCGAGAACATAAGGTGGTTTCAGTGAGTTTTTCCATTTAGAGGTAATTGGAACAACAATAACTTCAGTGTCCCAATTATTATATCCAACTAAAATATCAGTTATGTCTCCTATTATTAGAGGAATATCTAATTGAATATTGTCGCCCTTGTAGAGACACATAAACCTGTGCGTTGTCGCTTAAGTCACTAAAATTTCGACAATTTGAAAATACAAACATTGAAAAATTCACATCTTTTTCAATTGGGAATCCAAATGTGAGACAACTGGTTAGACCTTGAAATTAAGAAAGCAAAAAATGGTCTGAAACTTTTATTTTGAAGACTTTTGAATGAGCCTTAGCAAAACAATTAGGTACAACAGAGAAATTAAGGAAAATGAAGACCAGATAACAAGAAAGAAATGAAAGTTTAGCGAGAAAAATATATTATGCAAGAAGTTTTAATTATTGGGACTGAGAAAAATGTATTTCATTTTATTCATTAACCTATTCAATTAAAGTGTCTCAACAGCAAAATTCATTGGCACTAAACAGAAATAATTACATTCATAACACTTATTAGTAAAATGTGAACTTTGCCAACTATAAATTGTCATATAGATCAATATCTTCAGGAAAATACATACAAGTTGACTAAATCATTATTCATATCTAAAACCATCCCAAGTTCTTCTTTCAGTCTATGTTTTCTTCTGTGGAGTGGACAGTCTATCAGGAGGTGTTGTACCGTGAGTTGAACATTGTAGTGACTGCATAGCAGTGGATTTTTTGATTTGAGAAGAAACCCATGTGTATAAGCTCGAGTGTGACCGATACGTGAACGTCGAAAAATCACAAGATTTTTCCGTGATAAATTAAGCTCCAATCTTTGAGTTATAAACGGTTGGATGTTGTTCAAATTGGTTTTTAAGTGAGTCCAGTCGATTCTCCATTTATTTACTATGATTTGCTTTAGATGGCGCTTTAAGTCCATAGCTAAACTCAGATTTTTAGCAGGGAAATTAGCATCTTGAGCAATTTTAGCTGCAAGCCCATTTCCAATAATGCCAATATGCGCACTCCAAAATTGTATAATGATTGGTAAATATTATGTACCTGTTTCATTAGTGCAACAGGTACATTATAGAGTTGAATACGTGTTACATATAGAGTAAATGGACGCTAGAGAATCGGTACAGATCACAATGTTCTCGCCTGTACCTGAGATCAATCGGAGAGCAGATGGTATTCTATGTAGTTCACCGGTATATACACTACAATAACTCCATAGAAACCATATATTGGGCAAAAGTAATATTCGATATTGTAACTGCACAACTAACACTGGTATTGTTCTTGGAGGTATTGATAAACAAAACTTCATCATCACTTGAGGAATGGACAGTCTTAAGAAACAGTATCCTAAGTAATGAACTTGAAGTGTCATGTTTGCTGAATTCAGTAAGCAGCGTATTGATACTAAGCTGCACTAAGGACCATGGTGGAGAATTCAGGGTTGAGTATGGGTATAAATTCAGGAAAATCAAAATCAGGAAGGGTATTATGCGAAATTAAAACTGGAAAATTCACAGGTTGCTGATAGAATGGTAATCGATGAAAGATTTCAAAATGAAATTGGAAGATATCCGAAACTGAAAAGGATATTTATTCACCTTGCCTTGCTCTATTTCCAAACTCCACTCAGCTCGCCAGCTCATTCAGGAAGTTCAGGTCCCATGCGTAGGAGTGCAACGAAACTGTCTTGATTTAACCGGTCGCGGCAAACGAAAAACCGCTGGTCTATTTTCTCGAACCACACGAAGCGGGCGAAGTGTTTTTGGCAACTGGTACTGCTTGTCGGCAGGAAATGTCAGGATTTGCCGGTACCCTTTTCAGTGTTTTAGCGCACGCATTTTTAAAAGCCAAATTTAGCAAAGCCGTATCATTCTTAGGCATAGAGCACGCGCAATTCAATTAGAATAAGAGAAAACAAAAAATTAAGAACAACGAATCAATTTCCATTTCCAAATAGGATCTACCATCCTAAATACCCAATTTAACCTACAACTATACAGGGTGTTCCGAAACTATTGTGTCAAAAATTAAGGGATGATAGATAGATTTTTTACTCATAAACCCATAGGCGCATGCGCTTTGGTTAGGTGATAATAGCACTTTACAGTCCGCGCTGTGATAGCCACCTTGCACAAGGAGAAACGTGTTGGAATCAGAAACTGTATTTTTAAATAATACAAAACCAAAGGAATACTTGCAGTATTTCCAAAAACAACGATTGACATCAAAGGATGCTCAAAATTACGATCACAGGCCTCAATGCATGCGTTGATAACGCCGCAGCAGCGATATCGATTACATTTCTGCAGGAAACCCTTCCCGAACTGTTAGAAATTGTTCTCCTGTCTGTCAGACAAAACATGTGGTGCCAACACGACGGAGCTCCACCACACTACTTGTTAGCCGTAACATCTCAAAGCATCATAATTTGAAAAGAGTGATTGGTAAGGGCGCACCTTGCATGGCCTGATGGTTCACCAGACCTGATCAAATGCGACTTTTTTTTATGGGATCACATAAAATCTGTTGTGTATACAACATTCCAGTTGAAACAGAGGAACAGTAAGTAGGAAGGATTGATGCAGCAGCTGCTGAAATTCGCGAAACCCCAGGGATTTTTCAACGTGTTCGAAGGCTATGCTACGATGGCGCTGTCACGTATGCGTTGAGGCGAGTTGTCGTAACTTTGAGCATCTTTTGATGTGAAGTTTTGTTTTTAATAAATACTGCAAGCACTCCTTGGGCTTTATATTATTTAATAACACAGTTTCTGATTCAAACACGTTTCTCCATGTGCAAGGTGGCTATCATAGCGCGGACTGTAATGTGCTATTATCTCCTTACCAAAGTGCATGCGCCTATGGGTTTATAAGTGAAAAATGTTTATTTTGGCGGGATCTATCATCCCTCAATTTTTGGCACAACAGTTTCGGAACACCCTGTATACAGGGCGCGATGACGAAACTGAACAGGTATTTTCCAACATTTGTGGGTATTGAGTAAATTGAGTATACATCGGAATTCTATTAAGCAGGATATTAACAGGATTTCCAGGATATGCATAAACGGTGGTTGTGTATGAAAGGAGAATCATTTCTCGACGAAGTTGGAGAGGAAGTTCTTGAGATTCACAATATAAAGAGTTAACTAGACTTATTCTGGAAGCTCCTAGGCCTATACGAATTGATGTGTTGTGAATAGTATTCAGTTTTTTAAGTATCGTAGAGCTTGCTGTACAGCAAATAATACTTTCGTAGTCTAGCTTAGATCGTATGAGAGCTCTATAAATAAAGAGTTGTTCCATTGGCACCCCATTGATGATGAGCTAAAGACTTCAATATGTTTAGGCGTTTTATGCATAAGGTCCGTTTCACCAGGGTTCATACTTGACCTTGAAACTTGACAAAAAAGGATTGTCGTAGATTAATTCATATGACACATTCAATTTTTTGACAAATTAAAATGAATGACTTCTGGCCTAAGAACCGACGAACATTTTTGACGTCATTGATTTGTTTCAGTCAATTTTTATTTGTTAAACAAGGAAGGCAAATGCTGGTGGCAAGTACAAACCCTGGCGAAACAAACTTTACTTATTTAATTTCCTGAATGTAATGCTTCCAGCTTAGTTTGGAGTTAAAAATTATACCCAAAGACTTATAAGTATTAACTGATTGTATTGGTACGTCGTTTAGAGAAAGTTTAGCAGCACACTGATTCCTGCTGAGACTACATTTCATCAATTTAGTTTTGGAAGGTGAAAATCTGATCCCGTTGAATTGGCCCAGTTTAAGATTTCATTATGGTATTCAATTCTCGTCCAGAGCAGTAGAGAAGATCACCAGAAACAATTATTTTTTCAACTGGAAGACTCATGTTTGAGCAGCTACTCTTTATAACCAAATTAAACAAAGAAGGACTGAGGACAGATCTTCGAGGAACTCCATTTTCTAATATGACTAGCCTGGGTATTACAACATTAGATTAATAAAAACAGTAGAACAAAACTGGTAGGTACCTATAGTTACGACCCAGGGTTGAAAAGATCGACCACCATACTCTGTAAGCAAAAAGTGCCGGCAAACGTTCAAGTATTGCTGCTCTATCCCCGAACAAATTAATACAGGTTGACAATGAACAAGAATGAAATTGAAAATATATCAAAATGCTTATAATAATGGAAACCAAATTGAAGCTTATATAGGTTTTGGAAACCAAGGAAAGTTGATTCGAAAGAGGAATGTAGAAGAAATGAAATGAATCACCACAACAAACAATGAAAGTTTGTGGATGAGTGGATATAATTGATTATTAGGTAATAGTTACAAAACCAGCTAGATGGATCAATTTTTATTTAGCTGAAAAAAAACTAGATGCTCTAATAAAAAGGCTACAAAATGAAAGCCAATTCAACGAATATCATCAGATTTTGGATGATGAATGGCAAGAGCAAATTCTTGAAGAAGTAGAAGAGTCAGTGGATACTTTAAAGGCTATTTCGCTCCACACCATCCTGTCATAAAGCTTTCCAGTGCATCAGCAAAGATAAGAATAAGACTTATTTTGACCAAACAGCACTTGAAAGAGGAAAGCCATCACTTATTCAGTGTTTGAAAAACGCAGTGGATAAAATTCACGGGTCATGTTTGTTATAGCTGACGGTCGGCTACATACAAAAAAAACATCAAGACTGGTTTGATGGGAACGACACTAAATATCAAGACCTCATAGATAGAGAAAGGAAAACGCATAATGTATGGAAAAGCAAGCCAAGCTCGACTGTAAAAGACGCAATACCAACAAGCAAAAGCAGAAGTTCAAAGGCAAACGCGAGTATAAGAATGGATAACAAGATCAAGCGAAATGCAGCAACTAGCTAGTCGCTTTCAGCTGAATCCTGGCCCTTTTTCAGGCTACTAAGATGGTACACGGACCATCTCCTCAAGGACTGCTTGAAAACAGTTCTTCCATTATTTCTCGTTGGAAGGAACTCTTTCAGGAACTACATACTTGACAGATAATCGCCAATTATTAATGACATCCTCGATGAGATTAAAACCAATACAGAAAACAATACAACAAAAACTGAGCGATATTCCAAGATTAGAGGAGGTTGGAAAGATAATCAGACAACTAAAGAACAATAAGTCAGCTGACACTGTCGGCATTCCTGCTGAATTCTCTGAGCAAGGAGGTCCTGCACTAGGTGTCTAAACCTGATGAGTAGAACATGGATTACTAAGACCATACCATACCTGCCGAATTTAGAAATGCCTCCTTAGTAGTCATTTTTGAAAAGGGAGACAAGGCTCAATGTGGAAACTACAGAGGAATATGTTCACTTTCTGTTGCGGGAGAGATAGTTGCCAGGATCTTATCAGAGCCTCCCAGACACAGTGTCCAATGGACAAGTCTAGACAATGATCAACAAGAAATTAGTCTAACTTGAGTTCTCTGGCACAAAATTCCAAAAAGTCTTGCCCAAAAATAATTAGAGCCAAAACCGGAGCTCTCAGTATGAGGTCTCAAATCAAAAGGGGAGATTCTTCCTTTTAGATTTTGAAAGAGGGCTTCCATTTGTCAAACTTCTACTTTTGACATTGATGAAAATTATAGAAAAGGGCGTGTTAAGTTTCACCCCAAAAATACGAATTGAACAGGTGGGTTGTGTATAAATGACTCCAGATAACCGGTGAATATTGAAAATTGCCTATAGAACAGGTCTAAAGAAAACGCCTAGACAAGACAGCTGTTCAATGACAGATGTATCATGAAAAATCGAAAAAAGTAAACAACAATTATCATAACCTCAGATTATTTGATTGGATTTGCAAACTAGAGATGATGATACTCTCTCCTTTTTATGAGATACTAATCAATAACAGCGGGCCCTGCCGTACTGTATCAAACCTTCCTAGATCAATCAACAAAACTTGCAAACCTGCACAAAAAACTTTCAGTAGAAGGCAGTAATCAAGGTAACAAAATCTGGGCACAGAAAAGACAGCTGTTTATTCATTTATTTCATTGCAGTTCTATATAGAATCATATCTACTAGAGCAAAACACAGTAGCATATCAAACAAGAAATTGAAAATGCTACAAAGGGCGGGAACAATCTGGTATAGTGATGGCTCAAAAACCCAGAAAGGGGTAGAAACTGGAATCTACGAACTTATGATGCAAACTGAATTTCCGATACCTACCTATGGGAAACCTAGTAACAGTGTTCAGAACGGAGATGACAGCAAGAGAGCACTGCGCAATAAAAATAAAGAAGAGGGAGACTTGCCAAGCGGCATAAAAAGCGGCGCAGTCCAACAAAATGACATCAGACTTAGTTCTGGATTGTCACAAAGCACTCAAAGAGATAGAAAGTCAGAATAAGGTGACGCTATCATGAGTATTAGGGCACGAAGGCAATCAGAGCAATGGAGGCGCTGACAAAATAGCCTGAGAAGGCTCGTCAATGCAAATGAAAGAACCTGAACTGAACCCTTTTGAGCAGTGATCATCAAGCCTATTGCCAAAGCATCCATTGAGAAATGAGTGGAAAAAGTGGAAAAAGAATCTCAAAAAATGGATACACAGACAAACATACCAGAACAAAGACAGGTCAAGAAGTTCTAAAAAACCCCATCGGCTAAACTAACAGCAAACCTACTAAGCCATGATCGGAGGGCTGTGGGCTGTCAGAATAATGGTGGGTTTGCTGACAGGCCACTGCCGACTGTATAGACATTTAAGTCTGATGGAAGTGGAAGAAAACACAATTTTTAGGTTCCGTCAAGAGGAGAAGGAAACCGCAACTCACATCTTGTGCCATTGTGAAGGCCTGTCGAGAGTGCGCTTCCGATGTCTTGGCTCAACCGAACTGGAAACAGCAACCTACACTAGGGAGTCATTGTCGGGGTTGTGCAGTTTGATCAGAGAGATAAAACTGGACGAGGCTCTATAATATGGAGTGAGGCACAATAGATTCGCAGGGTCGCAGTGACGAACAGGCGGAAAGCTAATTCTCCCAACATTTTTAATCTAATCTAATCATCTAGTTTAGAAGACTGACTGGAAGTTCACTCCTCCAATGCTATCATGCTGGGGTGGCTGTTTTGAGCGTTTGATTAACATGCTAGAAAAAAATGTTGTAGAGGCTATCGGGAAAAGCTCACATTTCAGTAGAAATCTCATCTAGAATATCTTTACAAAAAATCATCGAAATTGGTAGTAGGTACATTAGATTTGGACCGAGTAGAAGCTGAATATTTATGTGAAACGGAATTATTCACTTCGACTAAAGTTGAAAGAAAATCTGAAAATAAAATTTATTTTCTAGCAAAATAAATAACCATAGAAAATATGTTTGTGACATATCTAACTTTTATCAAAAACAATAACCAGAAAAGTGTTGATTGGATTCTATAAAGAACTTCTAAACTTATTCCTGGTAGAGACGGAAATATACGGCTTGCTAAAAACAATTTCTGGGTAAATGTTGAGGACTATAAAACGACCATAATATAATTTGGAAAAGACGGTCTTCATACACCTGATGGAAATTCTAGAGAAAATTTTGTATCAGATAATATCAAATAGTGTATCATGAAAGAGAATCCTATAGGAAACATAATCCGTGATATTAATGAGTTTTTACCCAATTAACGGGAAGTGTAAACTCGATTTTATTGATGAGTTGATATATGCGAGAATTTATTTTGTACATAAGGAGAATATTTATACTTATTTCCAAATAAATACTTTGATTCATATAAAATGGAGCATAAACTTACACTGGATGCTCATGCTCGCTAATAGATTCTTAGAGGCTTAAACTCCATGATACCATTTTTTATTTTTGCTTATTTGTCTTTTTTTTTGTTATTAGTATTATCAGGTAAATTTTCTTAAAAAAAAAAGACCACATTTATTTTATATTGAACAATCGATTACCTATTATATTATTGCTCGTTTAGTTGAACCGCCAGTCGTTTTTTTTTTTTTTTTTTTGAGTAGGTACTTCGGTGATTTAACACGTCTTAAGAGTTAAAGCTCGATAAATATTAATACATTTTAGAGAAGAAAAAAGGACTAAATCGAATCAATAAAGACCTGCCGGATTTGAAATTGAATTTGAATGAAAATTGACTTGAATAAGTTTGATTTGTGATAAATTGAATTTAGACTGTATTTGTTCTACCAGCATGTGGAGTTTAAATAAAATATTGAAAGCTAACCTGAATTTTTCATTCTCATAACAAGCATCATTTCCACCAATATCCCTTGCTTTTTGGAAGTCGATTTTCATGCACTTATCCAAATTTTTGCTGGCCAATATCGGACAATAAGGTTGTTGAACACTCGTTGAACATTTTTTATCAATATGTAAGGAAGTTGATGATGTCTTCAACAATTCCCTGTTTACGTTCTTTAAACCGCTAAAATCTTTTGGAACTAATAATGTGGGTGGATCTTGGTTCTTTAGGGACCCAAACAAAAGCTGTTTTAAATCCGGTTGTTCTTCTATACGTTTCGAGCTTTCGCTAAACTCTTTCAATATTTTGTGAGATATATTTCTGAATTGAGTTGGATTTGATTCTGCGAATCTGCAAAAATTAGCTAATATTGACAGTGCATCGCATTCCAACTGCAAATTTCTCAAGTTTTCAGGAAACAGAGTTATTAGTTTTTTGCTATGATTAATTGTTGGTTTAGAAGGACCCGGCAAGGAATATTTTTCAAGTCTTCCAGGCAAAAAGCTTCTTGGTTTTGGTTCTGCTTTTTTACGAACCCCAGAAGATTTTTCGATTGCTTGCAACAAGTGCTCACTTGAACTTGTCTGGGATCTACTTCCTTCTGCCAAGGAAATTAAATTTGCTTTTCTTGAAACAGAAGCTGGAAATCCAATTAACTTCCTAGAATTTGTTTTTCGTACTTTTTTATGGCGAAATTTTTTCTGTGTATTAATTTGATTCATCATTTGACAAGAAAAATCCTTCAATTGCGGTTTTGTTGACTTTTGTGAGCTTTTAGATGAACTGTTAACGTTATTGTTGGAGGAAGTTGTATCTTTTTCTGGTATTTTGTTGCTTATTTCCGACGTGAAAAATACTTGTTTGGGCTCACAATTCATATTTTGTATTTCAATAGTGTCGTTGGATTTGCGCTTCTTTTTTATCGCTCCTGAACTCGGCGGCTTTTCATTACCAAGCCGTTTTAAAATTTCTATAATTATTTCATCTTTGACTTTATTGCTTGATTTTGCCAATTCTCTTTCCCCTTTCTTTTTCTTTATTTGCTGTTTGAAATTCTGTAAGAACAATTCAATTTTCTTATTACACATATTTTCGATATGACAAGAAAATTTTCTCAAAACTTCTTCTACAATTTCTTGTACTTTATTATCGGCGATTTGAGTTCTATTTGACTTTTTTTTAATTAGAGATTCTTCGTTTATTTTTGGATTTATCATTTGAGACTTGTTAGAATAATCACTATGGGAAGAATTTTTCAAAGCAAAATTTCTGTCTAACTGGCTCCATTTTTTCTCTAATTTGGGCTTCCTAGAGACCTTCCTCTCGTCCTCTCTACAATGATGTTTATATTTCTTATCAACGGTTTGGTGATGGACCATATTTATTCTTTTAGAAAAATTTGAAACTTCGTCGTTAAATGATTTTTCTCTTCCAAAAAGCGCTTTTATTCTATTTAATAATCCGTCCATGTATTTCTCTGAAAACAATGTTGTACGGATTTTTGTTTTATAATTGAATTTTCGGGTAGGTATAATCTGTTCAGTTACTACCGTCTCACTTATTTATTTCTTCTATCATCGCAACTATTTTCCCGATTTTATTTTCTCTTTTGCTTGAGCTCGCAAAAGAAACAAGATTTTTTGTCTTTATTTTTGTAATCATGTGTTGCCTTGGTTCGAAACGATTTCTGATAGGACATTTCTAAAATTTAAAAAAGTACCGAAATTTTGTTTGTGAAAACTATTTGGTGTCATTTGATTATCAAAATTTTGACAATAGATGTATAGGTAATTTCATACCACAAGTTTACACTCCGAAAAATGAGTTCACGTTGATAATGAATTTAGGATTTCGAATGTAATTTTAATTTTTATTTCTCTCAAGTTTCTGCAAACTGACTTGAATATGTTTGGCCGATTCTATGTATTCTTAAATCCAATTATCATTTCCTTCCCACACAAGAGATCCATTATTTCCCGATAGTTGAACAAGAAAAACATTGACATAAATTTCCATTTAATCCAACATCGATTTTACCTCAAACTTATTTATAAATAGTTCAGTTAAAGTTCCATGGCACCATTAATTCATTCGATGCAGAAATGTTAGCAGAATAATTTTCCTCGATCCTTCAAGCTCACTTCGCTATGTTAAGCGTATAAACTCCTGAACTTTACGGGGCCGAACTATGGATATTAACACCTCAAGTATTTTAATGGAACGGTAGCTTATAAGGGTGATGAATTACAGGTTCTTTCGCTGAAGAATGTCTGGTGCTTGTCTCTAATAAATTACATGCTTCTCTGTAATAAAACATACCGACCCGATGGTCAATAATTCATCACGCGAGAAGATCGGCAGTTGAATCTTGATTGTGTATTTTATTACATAAAACATATTTGAAAATCGGAATTTGTATGCAAGTTGTGATAGATTGTTTGGGGCAAGAATACAACAACAAAACTGCTTTATTTTTATTGTGTTGTACCTGTGAAGTTTATATCCTAGACAGAGCTGCACATCATACATAATTTTTTTTTTAACATACATACCTAATGTTATTCATTAACATCGAATGATATTCAAAGTTTTATTTGGCTAGGTGTATTCTCCTTTTATTTTCATTCGAAAATGCATTCTAATTTTACCAGCCCGGTTTATATTTTACGTCGAAATTCGCATCGATTTGTCAAAATAACGATTCCATCTTTCGATTTCTCGATTCGTATTACTCGAGACATCAGGAGCTGTCGTATTCGATATCGAGTGCAAGTAATGCTCATAATAGTGCAATAAGGAAAAGTTTATTCGACCAAAAATATGTAGAAGTTTTTTTTATCACCGGTTCTATAGAAGACAAAATTTCCTACAAGTACGTATACTAAAATTCATTCCACGAAACGAGATAGTAGAGGTAAACAAACAGGCGGAGCTTAAAAATTCAGAGAAGGACTGCAAAAATATGAATCACAACTTATGACATTTATTATTGTCAGGTTGTCATATGAGTCAATAAGTTTAATGTCGTATCTCCTAGTATTTTACAATTATTTAAATAGTGTTTGGTGAATTATTGTTAATTATAGAGCAATTTAGATTAAAACAATATCAAGTTCAACAGATTCCGCTGAAGAATTCGTTCGGAAATATATTCAGAGAAGAGAAATACAGAACAACCTAAGACGGTCCTGCCTAGGGCGGAGTATAATCCTTTTCTAGTCAATAAAATTCGACTTACCTATCAAAGTTTGTTTATTTTCACTATCTCGTTTCGAGAAATGATCCGTCTCGATAATCCTTAACATTGATAGATCGTGTTAAAAAAATGGCATTTCTTGACTTTCCTCTAAAAAAGTTGAGAACGTTATTCTTACTAAGATTATAATAAAAGGAAAGATTGTAGTAGGTATAACATATCGTTCAGCAAGATTGAACGGGGTGAATTTTTATTTCCTTTTAAACAACAAATCTTCTGAAAACGAAATGAAAAACAAATAGGACCTACGTTGTGGGAACTTACTCAATTTTACCTACTGGACATGCGCCCGACATAGCAAAAATTTGGGAAATTTAAGGAAAGCTGTCATATGTAGAAGAAACGAAAAATTTGTCGACTTTAATATTAAAATAAATCGTACCGTTCTCATCCTGGAACTAACGAGGGGAAAAAGTACGGCAGAGAAACCCTCGATCTACATTCCTCAAAAATCAAAACATACTGTGTCATTTTAATAATAATTGTGAGTCATTTATTCAATAATTCAAGTTTAAAAAAGTTTAAATTAGGTACCGCCCCTGTTCTTGTGCTAAAATTTCAATTAAACACACTACATTTAATCAACACTACCTATAATCAATACTGAAGAGTTTTTGGTTAGTTAGCTTAGCCGGTCTGCCAGAGGGTACTGAGGTCCCATACGGGATGCTACCCAGCTGTAGTTGTTATTTTGAGCCAATATTTCTTTCCTTTGTTTGGTAGGATATTCGCTCGTCAGGGTAGGAAAAAGTTAGTGAAGTTCAACAAGGCCCTAATGTACGTTCTGAATACATAAAATAAAAATCCCAGCACAAAAAGACTGCACATAATTTCTTAGGTTTCAATTTACTTCTTTATCTGTGTTGTTTACAGCAGGAAACGATTTTTGTTAAATACATGAACAATGCACATGTTATAAAAAAAATGTTACAAACAAAAAAACATAAAAATGGGAAAAAAATATTACTTGTATAAATTGAACTCTCAAAAACAAAATAACAATTATTTAACTGACCTGTGATCGCTCCTTGAGACACACACACTAATCACAAATTGGATTGAACAATCAGTTCGATACAAAATAAAAATAAAAATTGAAAAATTAACAATGGAAGCAGACAAACGATCTCTCTCTAGCCTAGTCGCTTATTCTCTAGTCTAGTCGCTCATTTCTTCTGTCTCCCGTTCGCAGTACAGTTCCTTGTAGCTCGAACGCGGCCACCACTAAACTACATAGCGCAATACAGGATTGCAACGTTTACTTTTATTCAGTAAACGTTTTTTTTTTTTTTAAGTTAAGATTCAAAGAAATAATATTTTAAATAGGTGGTTTTCCTCAACATATTTGAAATAAAGTGATATTTACACAAAAAAAGCAGAAACGCCATTATTTAATAATTTTCATATTCATTCGTCGTCCATCACCGCACCTGAAAAAATGAGAACGGAGACTTTGAATAACTACATTAGAATCGATGTCGTTTATGTTCATTATGGACAAAATTTATTATGCTTTTGCACAATAGAGTTTATTAATTATTTTTAAAAAAGAGAGAATCGAAAATAAAGTGGAGAAGTCAGTGCCAGCAAAAGGCTCAGAACTATGTTCGTAGATATTCCGTTTACATGAACCAGACTGTATGCGGAGCGTGGTAATTCCTAATTTATAGTAGATAAATACTACTACATAATAATTACTTGTAATATAGTATAAATTACCTTCAATCTTCTCAAGCAAAACGTCTTAATCGTCAGAGCAGTATAACCCAACCCTTCTGCATCCCCAATTGCCTTAGCGGCCCCACTGGCACTTGCAGGCAATGGTGTTTTTGGTTTTATTTGCTCTAAATATGTTTCCTTTTATCAAAACCTAAGTTAAATTAACGTTTTCAACTTTTTTAGAGAAAATTCAGGAATAGATATTTATTTTATTAGGAGTATAAGTAATACTTATGTGACGCGCATGGAAGTTTGAACGCCGAGCACAGCGAGGCGAATCAAATCCATGCAAGTCACATGAAGAATACTTATACTCCGAATGAAATACAATATTTTATTTCCAAACAATCTTCATTCCGAATAGTGCAGAACTTTTAATTTAAATTTTGACATTCATATTTTGAAGAATCACCTTTATGAGCACCTATACCTATATGTATAGGTGAACTACCTTAAATCGCTATGGAAAAACATGTGTAGCGGCGTATAAAGGCCGAAACCCACTAGCAACACGCCACGCCATGCTACGCTACCCCACGCCATGTGACACAGGTGGCGGGACGTGTTATGTCGTGGTATCGCGTGTAGCAAGTGTGTACGCGGCACATGTAAATGAATGGAAGAATATACGCATACATTTTCGTCACATGGCGTCGCGTGGTATAGAATGGCGAGGCGTGTTGCTAGTGGGTTTCCGTCTTAAATGTTATACTCCGGCGGAGTATAACACTTATACGCCGCTCAAGCTGAAAGTCATTGAAGTGACACTTATACCTTCTCAAAATGATCACAAAAATTACTGTTATATGACATTTGAAAATAAATGACATTTTTTCAACACGATCTACACACGTTAAGGATTGTCGATACTGGGAATTAGGAAAAATTGAAAATATTGTATTTTTTGATGTAAAAATGTTGTCGTTTCAGGCGTACCTGAAACTTCAACCAATCAAAATACTTGATTTTCCGACGATTTCCGAATGCAATTCGATCGAAGAATAGAATTGCCTATGGTTTGACAATCGTAAGCAAAATCATAGTCGAGATCGAAATCGATGAGTCGGATGATAGAATTCCCCCTCGGGATTCGGTATAGTTTCATTCATTTATCATTCATCTTCCTTTAATTCTTATCAAGCATTTTCTCTTTGTATTTCCTATTTTATTTTCAATTTGAATTTATTTTCGGTTCAACCCTATGTTCATTTCATATTATTTTGTGTTATAGTGTATCAGGTATGAGTGTAAATATTTCAACATGAGATAATATGACCTATTTCAATCTAAAACTCTCCTATTAACCATGGGTCAATTGTTAGTATTTTCGGAGTTATCGCAGAATTTAAATTTAGAGAAATGTTAACAACGTGACAACATTGTACAGGTATTATCTCTGCCAGG